TCAAAAGTGTATTCCCTTATGGCTGATTGAAAACTCACCAACGTCATCTATATATGAGGTCGATGAAAAATTGAGCGTTTTTTAAAAACCGCTGTTTGAGAGGAAAATTGAGAGCCCCGATGTATACTTTTTGACATTGTCAAAATCTTTGAAAGGACCAAAAAAATTTTTAGTGTCAGATAGTTTACAAATGTATACTTTCTGACGAACAGACTCTCAGACAGCGGTTTTTAATTTCTGCACTTTTTTGGCGACATTATACTGGAGCTGGAAAACCTCGAGTTTGTTCCAAAATAACAGGTTTGAAGACCCACTGTATATATATAAAAAAAGAGAAGAAAATTGTTTATTATTAAATACGGAATTTGGAAGCGTTCTGTAAGATATCGTTTGCCTTTCTTAGTGCCACCAAAGTATCCTGGCACTTCTTTCTGTTCTTTGTGATATTGGGGTCCTCGCGCATTATCTCGCTTGCCATTCCAGACGTGAGAATCTTCTTGAGGAGTGTCTCGTTCAGTGTCTTTGAAGAACCCTCTACGAGCATCATGATGACTGCCTTTGGAATGACATCGACAATCTGTGTCTTGACGAGTTCGAAGTACCTTGAAGCGAGCATTACGAGTGTCTTTGTGACATCTTCGGCCATTTCCCTCTCTGTCTTCTTTGTTGGTGCGTTATCTCTGTTCTGACGCTCTGCAATGATGGCTGCACCTCTGAAATCGTGTCTGGCGGTGTTAATGAAGAGTAATTCGTTGTCCATGACATCGTTGACGAACTGTACTGTTGGTTCTACGCATGAGTTCACGAGATCTTCAACGACATTGCGGATTGCGTCCTTCATTTGTGGGTATTTCTCGAGTTCAGGGAATATAACGTTGGCATGGATCTGGAGAATTTCGTTAGCGACAAGAGTAATGGCTTTGAGGGCTGGTGGTCGGAGATTTTCGATCCATCTGCGGATTAATGACTCAAATGCCTGATGAGGAACGAAAAGTGGGGATCTGACACCGGATTGGTTAAGAATGAGGTTGTAGACGTCTTTAAGATCGAGAGTAGACATGGATGGGATCTCGGCGATCATTGTTTCGTACTTATCTTGGAAAATACGGTTAATTCTGGCACCACCACGAAGTTCGTTATCGATCTTGTTGCCAACCTTACCGGCAATAAGGTCTTCGTAGCCCTGAACGTATTTCTGAATAATTGTCATGATAAGCTCGTTTGGATTTAATCCGTCCTTCGCTGGATCGTCACCGTAGCGGAGAAGTTCACGCTCTCTATCTTCGATGAGGGAGGCAACACGGGTTTTGAGAGATGGTAAGGATTTCTTGATATGATCGACAAGAAGTCTGTTGAGAGTATTCGCCAAGACTTTGGTAGTGCATTTTTCGGTCATGTGCTTGTAAACTGGGTGCTTTTCGAAGAATTCAAGCTCTGCTCTCTGTGCATCCTTCATTGGACGATTATTATCGATATCACGCTGAGAACGGTTAACGACAGCGATGTAACCGAGCTTAAGGGGCTTAACCTCACCTCTAAGGATGGCTCCGCAGTCTGTACCTGCGTCCATGAGATCAACTTTTGTTAAGACACCAATTGTACGGTCGCCGGCAGGATCAACTTGAGAGGCGAGAAGTAATGAGTCTGAGTTTGCAAGATCTTGGTTGGCAGGTGTAACAGCAAGGATTAATGAAGAAGGTTTCATTGCGAACTGCATAACCATGCCGTGAATCATCTCTACAACGGATTTGTCTTGGTCAGCAACAGCAACCTTTGTTAAACCTGGAAGATCGACCATTGTAAGATTTGGTACAGAAGAATCGCGAATGCAAAGATTGATTGGTTGGCTCGATACATTTTTATTGCTGCCTGTTGATCTGTCTGTTTCTGCTTGAATTTCTGTTCTGATATCTGAGAAGTTCTTGAATTTCTTGCCCGGCAAATGTAAAAATTCTCCATATTGCTCATCATTTGGACCAACGTGAACAAGCTGAAGTACAAGTGGTCTTCTTGTGACGATGCCTGCACCACGTGGAAGGAAATCACGTCCGACGATTGCTTCTAAAACTGAGGACTTTCCTGAGCTTTGACAACCGACGACAATGATTTGTGGTAGATCAACAAGGTCACCACCAGCAGTGTTGAAAACATTCTGGAGGTCGTTGATCAGAGGAATTACGGCATCCATATCTTAAATTTTTTTTAATCGGTTGTTCTCAATTTATTCTTTTTTTTTAGGCAATGGGATTATAAAATGACATTGCATTTGAAGATATTTGAGTTTAATAAAGTAATAATAAATTAGATGCTTATAATAGTGGATGATGATATAAGCTGTTTTTTGAATTTTAGAAAAAATATCAAATATTTGGTACTAATTATACTTAAATTGTTATTCATGCTTTTGCAGAAGCTGTGTTTGTCTCGTTTGTAGCAAGATTATTTGTAGTTCATAGCTATTTCTGTAATATATTAACGTTTGACTGAATTTATTATCGATGATGAGACAAAATGAGAGATTTAAATGTAAACGCAAGATATGTCATATGTTTTTACAGTATCATTTTAAAAATTTGGACAATACTTTAAAATATGTTGATTTTAATTCTTAAAAAACGATCATGTTAATATGGTTCAATGTTTATTCATTAGATGTAGTTTAATGTGACGAATTCCTAAAACCATTTAGGCTCACATAATAAAAATTATAAGTAATATGAATTAATACACTGATTTGGAGGTAAACAATGGTAGATATGTTAATTCTAAAGGAACTAACAGTGAATTGCATATTGATTTTAAAGATATAGAAATCGATATCAAAATATGAATTACCATAAAATGTTATTTAGCTTTTTGTTAAAATTTCTTGCGTTATTTCCATTAAAAAAAAAAAAAAAAAAAAAAAAAGGTAGTGGGGCTTCCAGGCACTTCGTGCCTTCTAGCCCCGAAGATGTTTAGTATAAATGAAGTTTTTATTCGGAGGGCTTCCAGCCCTAAGAATTTTTCCCAAGACCCAAGAGGAGGACCGAACCCCAGCCGACCAGCCGTTGACTTTTTTGTCATGATTTCATCGTAAATGTTTTGTCAAGACTTCTTCATCGTAAATGTTTTGTCAAGATTTCATCGTAAAGACTTTGTTGAGATTTCTTCGTAAATGTTTTGTCAAGATTTCATCGTAAATGTTTTGTCAAGATTTCATCGTAATGAGCGTAAATGACCCAAAAATATATTTTAGGTGAAGAGGTGAGATTTCACCTGTTTTTTCACCTCATTTTTCACCTCTTGAATTTTCATGAATTTCTTCGTAAAGACTTTGTCAAAACTTCTTCGTAAAGACTTTGTCAAGATTTCTTCGTAAAGACTTTGTCAAAACTTCATCGTAAAGACTTTGTCAAAACTTCATCGTAAAGACTTTGTCAAAACTTCATCGTAAAGACTTTGTCAAAACTTCATCGTAAAGACTTTGTCAAAACTTCATCGTAAAGACTTTGTCAAAACTTCATCGTAAAGACTTTGTCAAGATTTCTTCGTAAAGACTTTGTCAAGATTTCTTCGTAAAGACTTTGTCAAAACTTCATCGTAATGAGCGTAAATCAGACAAAAATATATTTTAGGGTAGAAGGGTATATCTACCCCGTTTTCTACCCTCTTTTCTACCCCATATGTACTTACTGAAAAAGTATGTGTTCCATCTGTCATTTTACTCAGAATTTTACACCAAAAATAATGTTTAGGTGAAGAGGTGAGATTTCACCTGTTTTTTCACCTAATTTTTCACCCTCTTGAATTTTCATGAAATTTACACCAAAAATATACTACTAGGGTCATTTACGAAGAAATCTCAACAAAGTCTTTACGATGAAATCTTGACAAAACATAGACAAGAAAGTTCATGAGAAATTAGATGAAGAAGTTTTGACAAAACATTTACGATGAAATCATGAAAATTCATGAGGTGAAAAAAGAGGTGAAAAAAGAGGTGAAATCTCACCTCTTCACCTAAAATATATTTTTGGTCATTTACGAAGAAATCTCAACAAAGTCTTTACGAAGAAGTCTTGACAAAGTCTTTACGAAGAAGTCACAATAAAGTCTTTACGAAGAAGTCACAATAAACATCTGTCAAAAACCGCTTTTTAACTTCACTTAAAATGCCACGTAAGCTACGTAAGAATATACGTAAGAGGAAGAGAGCATTGAAACATCCAATAGTAAAACTGACACCACAACAACAGTTGCAACAACAAATGCTGAATGACCCCACTATGTTGCAACAAATGTCAAGCAATCCTATGCTTTTAAACCGAGTTGTTGGTGCACAGAGTGGAGGTTTAAGAGCGGCACTTTTAGCGAAAATGGCAGGCTATGGTGGAGCTGCAGACGGAACAGCATATAACCCTCAAAGTCAAATGAATTTGAGTTCACTCAAAAATCAAATAACAGATGTCAAAAAGTCAAACATAGACATACAGAAGCAAATAAGTGAAAACGAAAAGAAACTAGAATATGACAGACACACAAAGAAACTCAATGAGTTAAACGTAGAGAAAAAGAAGAAAGAAGAACAACTGAAAGAACTAAGTACAGAGGAATATGCGAAAAAAGTGTCAGAAAAAGCAGCAGAAGTAGCAAAAATGGAACAAGATGTCATAAATTTGAAAAACCATACTACTCAATATAAAATACTGAAAGATGAAGAGATAAAACAAAAAGCCCTGAAGACATATATGGATAGCGATGAGTATAAAAAGGAAGTTGAAGCAAATGTAAAGGCAGAAAAACTTTTACAGTTGCAAAACCAAACCGTACAGTATGAAAACTTAGCGCAAGAAAGTAAAAATAACGACGCAGCCATGCAAAAGGCAATGAAAAGCGCAGAATATATAAAAGCTAACAATGACTGGTTAGATGCCCAAGCCAACGCTAAAGCAGCCCAACTCATAGGGTCAATAAGGACAAAAATACAAGCGGATGAAGACAGTTCAAATGAAGCTTTAATGAATGCTGACTTTAAGAACGCCTTCGAAGCTCTTCATAGTAAGGTGAAACTAGTGAACGACTTCTCATCTGGAAAGAAACTGAAGTCTGAAGGTTTCGACAAAGAGTTAAAAGAAGTAGCACAAAATATGACGAAAATAACAGATGCAGCAACGAGACAGGCAGTTCAAAGTGCCTATGACGCCGTTAGAGCAACTGTTGTGAAAAGTCAAGAAAAAGAGTTACAACAGACCAAAACAGACCTAGTAAATGCTTTCTTAAGAACGAAAAGTCAGGTAGGACATTACGCTGCAGATGGAACATATGTGCCAGCTGGTGGAACTTATATACCACCAAACCCTCCAAGAGAAGCACCTGCACCAGGACTACCTAGAACATTTACATCGTCACATGGACACAGACACAGGCATGCACCAAAACCAACACAACAACCAACACAACAACCAACACAACAACCAGCACAACAACCAACACAACAACCAGCACAGCAACCAACAGTTCAAAACCCTGCACAACAACAACCACAAACAGAGCAAGGACATAAAAGAAGTAGAGAACAAGGAAACCAAGAATTCTTAAAAATGCTTAAAGAAGAGTGTGGTTTCCCAGATACTGTTGACTTTAGTGACAGATATAAAGAAGCTATTGGAAAGTTCAAGGATGGAAATACTGACCCGAACCTATTTAGCTTTATGGCTCAGCACCAAAACGGATATAATCTCAAACCTGGAAAATACAAGCTCGCTAAGGGATATGATTTAATAGCATATCATCCAAATGACATGGATGAATTTACTCCGAGATATTTGATGTCAGAGCTAAATGACAATTCAACTTTCGTCATGAAACGCGTAAAAAATAGAGACGGAACGAAAGAACAAAAGCTTATGAATGCGGATGACGTAGATAGGGAAATTGTTAAAAACGGTCTCGGAATATATGAAATGCCAGCAGATGAGGTACAAGAAACTCCACAGGAAGAAGTTCAGATACAACCAGACATGGAAGAAATAGTTCAGCAACAACAGCTAGAAGAGCCTGAAGGAAACGAACAAGTCCTTCCTTTGGAAACTAACTTCACAGAACTAGATGAAGATTTGGAACAGCCGAAAAATCTTGACCCTCAACAAGAGTATGCGGAGAATATGGAATATTTCCAAGAGTCTAAAAAAAATTCGGCTGACATAGTAGAAGAATATCGAAAAATGTTTGCCGACATACAAAAGACTCCAACATCAGATGAAAATATCCAGCATAGAATGGAAGAACTGAAAAAAAATGTACACAAATACAACAACCCTTTTTACTTACGAGCATTTAACGTTCAATCTTCGGATGAACTCGGTGAAGATAAAAGGTTAAATTTCAAGAAAACATATAGAAATGAAACATTGTTTAAAGTTCATTCAGAACCTAACCAAGATGGAAACAAACCTACTTTTGTTTCTGCAGACGATGGAACTACAATGAGATGGGGTCATAAAGCTAACCCGGATAGGTGGTTCATAAACTTACAACCACAATTCCAAGAAGTTGTAGACGCAATGGAAGTCAATGGTGAACAAGATATAGCTGGTATTTTAAGCGCGGCTTTAATGCCATTGAAAGATATGAAACATGCAGATATTTTGGACCAGTATGAAATGAACATGGCTGATGGAAATATAACACCTGACGTTCTAGAACATTTATCTCAAAGAACTACACAGAACCATAGAGATGGTATATTTGGTGAAGAGTTTAGAAAGAAAGTTAGGGAGGGAGAAGGAAGAGAACCTATTGTACATGACCTTGCAAACGAAAGTTTACAAAATGTCATAAAAACTTACTTTGCAGACAATGAACCGAGAAGGGATGAATATTTAAGAAAACTCAAATGGACAGTACCAAATGAAATGTTAGTATTGAAAAACATGTTCCTTGACAAAATAAAACCAACTACAGAAATAAATGACGAAAGACTGAAAGATTGGGTAAAAGCTTTCCCATTCACAAAAGATATAGTTGGTAACATGGAAAGAAAACCAGAATGGCTACAAAAACATATATTTGGAAACGAGCATATTCCATATGGACAGGCACTGTTTGAAGAGCTTGAACCGGAAACTCAGGAAAGAGTCATGCAAACAATACGCGAAGACTCAAATACAGACTATGACAAACTCTTTCTAGGATATAGGTTACCTGAGATGGGCGACCAGAGCCAAAAGGCAAAAAGGACATGGGAAATTTGCAACATACTAGATGAACATAATGCAAAGATGCAACAACTTCAAGCAGAGGGCAATGAAGGAAAAAGAAGAGTTAAAAACTCAGTCAGGAAGAAAGTAAAGCTTGGTCCACGTGGGTTCTATTATGACATATAAATCCAACTATTCTATATTTTTACTCATATGAAATGTACGCCGCTCAGAATATAACGCCAACAGTTTGGATGCCATGAATGGAAATGTTTCCGAATGGTATAACGAATGCGACAATGCCATTAGAAGGTCAGAAATAGTTCCTGGAACTTACGAATATACAACTGCTGTTTCATATGGAAACGTAGGTGAGTTTGGAGAAGGTTCTTCAACAACAGTAGATATTGCTTGCGACAGGTTTCATATTATTTCTATTGACAACTCATTCTTATACGTGGAACAAGACATTGAAATAAAACCTTCTGCCAAGTTGTCTGACAAGAAAGGTTGCAATGGAATTTTCTATGTCGGATACCAATATGCTCCAGAAGTTTTCATGGGATATAAGATATATTCTAACTCTGACTTAGTTCAAACAGTAACATGGGCAAACTATGAATGGTTCGCTTTGAGAAACTCAGTACAACCACAAGCTAGAGAACAAACAGACCAGTATGCAACTATTGAGAAAATAAGAAGACTTGACCCTAACGTTCCAGGAGTTTATGTTAACCTTTCTGGTTCAGATGGAACTGCTGCCACTAAATTAAAACTGAAACTTAGAGTTCCTTTGTCATCTTTCCTCATCTTCAGGTTTTTAAGATACTTGCCAAACTGGGCAGGAAAAATTTCTATCGAACTTACTCCAAGCAAAAATAACTTAGTCATTGCACCAACACAAGACCCATTCACTCTTACAGAAGTAGTGGGAACAAATAAAATGTCATTCGCCGACTTTTGCAAAAACAAAGTTGACTTAGACTTTGGTTTCTCAAACCTCAACACTGAAGTAAACTATTATTTCAATGCTGCTGGAGATGCTTGGGACCCAGTTAAGTTCACATGCGAAAAATTTGAATGCAAGAGAATAGAAAGCAGACTTGCAGTCTATATGTTGGACCCAGATATTTCAAATGCTTTAGCTGCCAAATATATTGCAGTTCCACTTATGTTCCCTATACACCAAATATCTGTCAAAGACTTTGCAGGTGAAGTTGGAAACCAAAGTGCTGACCCAGGTGCAAGAACAGATATTGCTTTAACAACTGCAATGAAACATGCAGATACTATGTTTGTACTGTTCAGACGAACTATAAATGACTATTCTTGCTTCTACAACCCTGGTATTAAATACCATATAAACATAGATGGCAAATACTATCCAAGAGAAGAATATTCTACAGTTGAGGATATGAGGTCATACAACTTGACATTAGATGCTATGAACTTTAACAACAACTTCACAACAACCATTAACCCTGAAATGCAAAGTTCTATTATGCCATATGTGAAAGTATGGACTCATACAGGAGCTCAAAAAACTCAATATACAAATGGAGACCGTTCAAACTTTTGGCTTGGCATTCCATTTGCTGACTCAGAAGACTTTATGGTGGTATTTCAACTGTTGGTACAGTTCAAATACAATATACTGGTGACAGAGACGGTCCAATGAATTGAAAGCAAAGAAGTTTACAAAACCAATAGCACTTTTCACGGAAGATGCTCTTTTGAAGATTCGTTCGATGAAACCTGCTGGGGCTCCTCAGATTGGCATAACGACAGCTTCCATCGAGCAGATTTTGGCAGCAGGTCAGTAAGTTGTTCTTGAACTGACTTCTCTCCGTCAAATATTGACAGTACGCCAGTTTTGACATAAAATTGTATTATAAACTTACCTTTAGAAATATCTGTAAGTTTTGTTGTTATATTTTTGTCTGCTTCAAGAACTTTCACCATTTCAGTTATACCAACTTTCTTTGCTTTATGAAAATATTTTGGTTCAGCAAAGACTGCTATTCTATAACATTTTCCATTGTTTGTGTAAAGAACTACTCTGTCAATGAACTTGTATTGTTTGTGTGTGTAAACTTTGTTTTGCTTCAATTCGAAGAGATACTCAAATACGTCCATCTTTTTATTCTAAGTAAAATGTCATTTCCGAAAAATAGAAGCGTAAGTGTTTCAAAAGGTTTAATGGCGGTGGCAGATGTGAAGTTAAATTCACCAACTCAAACAAACAGTCAAAGTGTTGTTGTCAATGTCAAAGAAAGAGATGTTGAAGTGGGGAAACCATACGAAGACCAAGATGGTATAACAATAGTTCCTGTAAAGAACAACCAACATACCCTGAAGTTAGCAGAGACTTAAGTTCTGTTGCAGATATTCGAACGACTACCAACAACTTAAAGACAAACTTAAAACTCAGGAGAAGATTTGTCAAGCTTTGGGTATAATGTTTAAACTTGGTTGAGCACAACCCTGTAAAAGTGAACTCATATGTCATCGCACCTCATGAAGTTTTGAAAGAACTATTGAAACTTTTGACAGAGGCAGACGATATAAACATCAAAGAAATAGAACCCGACATTGCTTGCTGTGGTGTTTCATATAATGTCATTGACAAGATATACGTTATGAAAGGAGGTGAAACGTTGAACTTAAAATATAGTTTCCCAGACGTTATAAAAATATTTGACGACCACAACATTTCATTAAAATTTAGTTGCTAAGTAAATGGCAGAAGACATAGTGGTTTATACTATTACGACTAAAAACCCTGAGTCATATAATTCTATAACAACAAACTTACAAAGTCCTCAAGGACGATATTGTAAACTAACTTTAAACACGATGACGACTAAAGCCTGTTTTGCTCTTTTGACACCAGAAGATTTTATTGTTGTGAATGGTAAAAAATACTCCTTTGAAGATACTTACTCAGATATACCACCAACAGGTTTTGTTGACTTATTTAATACTTTAAGGACGGATGTAACATGTGCTGCAACTAGAGCAGGTTTCATTATGTTTTGGATGTCCGACTGAGTTTAGTATAAACGATGAGCTATAATACAAAATTATATCTGGTTTTTACTACCAACAGTTTCCTATAACAGGAAAAGGTGTCATACAAGGAATGTCTATTCCATTGACATTAAGCACACCAATCTTATATATTGTTTCAAACTTAGGTTCAAAGTGTTATTCGAATGTCGACAGAAACTATTATGACCAAAAGATACTCATGCGTATAAACAACACTTTCTCTGCTGGTTTGCCTATTGTTCATTCGAATGCAGAATTTTCAACCTTAGTGAACTCAAACACTTTGGCAAACATAAACTTAACCTTAGTTGACGCAAACTTTGTTCCTGTAAAACTTTTATGTCCTATGTATTTGTCAATGACGGCAGAAAGTTTCGAATTGGAAGATGCAACTGGTGAAAGTATTGTACTACAAGAACAACTTCAACAACAAATAGCTCAAGAACAACAAATGCAACAAATGGAACAAATGCAACAACAAAGTCAAGAATAAAAAAATATTTTTTTTATTTTTATAAAAATGTACAGAATAGATGTTTCAGATTTTTATGACTTCCAAGCGTTCAGAAATATGTGTCCATTTCGAGACTATAACAAAGCAGTCGAGAATTTGAAACGTTTAGTCATTTATGTCGACTCTGCCCCAGAATGTTATGTCATGAAAGAATGGGATGTTGTCTTTAACAAACCAAGAGCAACAATAGTTTCAGAACAAGAATGCAGACAGAAACTTAAGAAAATAAAAGTCGTACAAGTTGGCATGAAGATGTTAGATGCTTGGGATATCTTATTGTCAAAGTTAGAAGATTTTTCAGTTCGTGGTATAAAGTTCTATACACCATCTCCAAACTTCTATTCTATCTTCACTGGATATAAATACGAACAAGTAGAATGGAAAGAAAATGTTATAGAAGCTTGGTTAGACCATGTCAAAGAAATTATATGCAATGGAAACGAAAGAGTCTATGAGTATATCTTATGTTGGTTTGCAAACATCTTACAACATCCAAGTGCTAAAAATGAAACTGCTCTCATTATAATTGGAAAACAAGGAACTGGTAAGAACACTTTCTTTACAGATATCTTATGCAAACTGTTAGAGGCTATTCGAACCCTAATATGACAAACTTAGAAAACATCTGGTAAATTTAACTCTCAATAGAGAATATGAAACTTATAGTTTGCAATGAACTTCAAAGTATAGATACAACAAAAGTTTTAAACTCAGATGCTTTGAAGAGTCTTATAACAGACAAAGTTGGAGTTGTTGAAAGAAAATATAAAGACCAAAGAGTTTGTGAAAATGTTGCAAATTTCATCATGGTTTCAAACAATGCCGTTCCGATGAAGTTAGAAAGTTCTGACAGAAGATATGTAGTTGTCAGAACGTCAGATTCTCATATGCAAGATACAGAATATTTTGACGACTTAGCAGAAACTTTGACACCTAACTTTTACAACCACTTGTTCTCATATTTCATGACATTAGATATTTCTAAGTTCAATCCAAGACAAATTCCACATACCGAAGAAAGACAAACATTGTTAGAAGCAAACAAGAGTGTATATGAACTGTTTATAGATGAGACTAACTTTGAGTGTTTAGATGAAAGGTCATTGTACGATTCATATAAACAATATTGTCAAGAGTATGGTTATATGACAGCGTCTAAACGTACATTCTTGGCAAATGTCAAAAGTCTTTTAGATGTTCAGAACGGCGTATATACAAAGAAAAATTTTTCTGAGTAAATTTAAAAAAAAATATATATTTTTATTTTATTTGAAATGTACGCTGAGTTTGTTGGAAAAGACCTAGATAACGAAAATAGATATGCGCTATTCTGGTTAGATTGTCCTTATGAAATGTATGAAAAAAAGGCTTTATATGAAGAATATAGAAAATATTGTCATGAAAACGATATAAGACTAAGCTCTAGAGAAAAATTCTATGCTGGTATAAAACATCTTTTCGAAGTTCGGAATGGCAAATATAGAAAGAAATAATTTTTCTGAGTAAATTTAAAAAAAATATTTTTTTATCCGATAGAAAAGATGACGAAATATATTTCAGTCAACAAGTACATGACAGAAGTCAAAGAAGAACTAGACCCATTCGCTTATTTGAATGTTTACTTCTACCATTTTGAAAAGTCTACATTTGACAAAGTTTGGAACATCGAACCCGTTAAGTTTGCTATTGTGACTAAAAATGGTGCGAAATTTGAAGACTTAGACATAGAAGGTTTGTTAGCAGTCAAAGAAAATTTTGACAGAAGGTTTTCAAACCTTAAAGAAGGCAAAGCATACAAACTTGTTATACCTTATGAACCAAAGAAAGCAGACGACTATGAATATTATGAGTCTAAGATAGTTGAAGTTCAAGGTAAATTGGGTAAAAAGATTTTAGAGTCTAAGCCAGTGTTTGCTCCTAAAGAGGAAGAGAACATTGACATTGACCCAGAAATGTTCTAAAAATAAAATTTTATTTTTACATGTCAAATTTCTTTTTCTCTGGAACTGGTTCAGGTTCTTTCTTCTCTTCTTCTACTTTCTTTTCTTTCTTTTCTCTCTTCTTCTTCTTCTTCTCTGGTGGAGTTATGTCAAATTTCTCAGAACCATATTTATGTAAAAGTTCTTTGTCCTTTAATAGCTCATCTATTCTGTTTTCTATTTCATCTTCAAGAACAGCGCATGTGTCTTCTTTGCATTCTAAGAACTTTTGTTGGACTTCATCTTTCCAATCGGCGTCATCTCTGTCAACAAGTCTGTCATTGACAAACTTAAAGACTTCTCTGCTTAATGTTTTATGGTTCTTGTCATATTCCCAGAAACAGAACTTTAGAACAAATTCACCTTTCTTGTTTACACTATGTAAGATTTTATGGTCGACAGATGTTTTGCTGTCAAAAAGTTTGTCTCGAATATAGATAGCGAAATCGCTAGACATTTTCAAAAAGATAAAAATTTTAATTTTTCTAAAAATATGTTAGAAAAAAAGTTTGCTGACATTGACAAGAAATTTGAGAATGTTTTAAACAAGAACAAGAGGAAGTTAGAAAATGCTCAGATAAAGCCTATACATGACAAGTTCTTATTTGCTCAGAATGGTATAACAGGTCTAATTGCACCACCTGGGTCTGGTAAGACTTTCACTTATCTTAAAATGGCTGCACAACAACAAGAACTAGATGAGAAGAACCCATTCTATGAGTTAGTTGTTATTTGTTCGACTTCTGGTCAATTTGACCAAACCGTCAATTCGTTCAAAGATATTATAAAAAAGTCTAAGTTAGTATGTATAAAAGACTCTGAGTTGTTAGATTGGATAAAGAAGTACCAAAGAAGAGTTTTGAAGTATAATGCTATAAATGAGTATATAAATTCTAAGTTTAAAGACCCAAATGAGGAAATGCAGAGAATATTAGAGAAGAAACACTTCAGAAACAAACAGAAAGAGATAGAATACATTTCGAAGAAATTGCAATCTTACGATTGGAAGACATACCCTCATAGGTGTCTTCTTATCTTAGATGACTTTGCTTCTCATCCTTTGTTAAAGAACAGAGAACAAGATATGTGTCGAATTCTTAAGAAGCTCAGACACTTCAACATCTCTGTTGTCATTTGTGTACAGACAGCAAAGAGTTTAAGTAAGGATGTTAAAAGAATACTTACTGATATCATACTTTTCCCTGGATTGTCCGAAGACGATTTCATGGAACTTATGAAAGAGTCCATGGCAGGTAAGTTTGACAGACATGAACTCTGGGAGAAGTACAAAGTCATACAAGACCCTCATACTTCTTTCAGAATTCACATCTACGCGAACAAAGTTCAAATTGTAAAAAGTCAAGCTTGAAAAATAAAGAGTTTTGGCGACCCCGAAAGAAGTCAGTCTAGAGAAATTTCACTGTTTTTGTTGCTGAATTCAATAAAAATATATTTTAGGTGAAGAGGTGAGATTTCACCTCTTTTTTCACCTGTTTTTTCACCTCAGTTATTTTATAAGCGTTTCACATGGTAAACGTTATTTTTTAAATTTTGTGAAAACTCAACGGTTTGACACAAGCCCTAAAAATTATTTTACTCAGAATTTTGTTGCTGAATTCAATAAAAATATATTTTAGGTGAAGAGGTGAGATTTCACCTCTTTTTTCACCTGTTTTTTCACCTCAGTTATTTTATAAGCGTTTCACATGAATTGTATGATGTATATTTGAAATCCTAAACAATTTCGTAGCTTCTATTTCTTCTGTCAGTACATCGAATGTTTTAACGATACCGAAAGTTTCTTTATACTTCTTCTTGACGTCAGATAGAAGGAAATCTTCTGCTGTTGGATAGTTTTTATTCAGAAATGCAACATATCATTTTATCTTCTGCTGGTTTTCTGCTTCTTTCTTTAAGTCTGCATAGTCGTTTCGCATCGTTCTATCTCTTTGACTGAGTAGTTATATTTCCTCATTGCTGCTTTACATTTTGAACATTGTGGGTTCATTTTTGCGTTATATTTGAAACCTTACCTGCTAAAACAACTAAGGCGTCAATTGCTCTCTTTCACTCGAACATAGCGGGTCTTATTTGTTCATTCCATACCTTACCCTACTATCTTTATCTCTTATTTCCCATACACATTTTGCAACTAATGAAACAAAGTTGTCGTAGGTCTTAAATTCTCGGATTTGTAATGTCAGAGATGTTCTTATATACCATGTCGCATCTTTGTCCATGACTTTGTGGTTGCAATGAAATCCAAGAAACTCATAGTTAACCTTTCGTATGAACTTCTTTATTTCTACTGAGTCAGTCAGTCCGACTTCTATTTCATCGAATTCTGGAATAGTAAGTTTTTGTTGTTGGATTTCAGGAAGTTTAGGTAAATGGTCAATAATATCCTGCATTTCATAAAGATACTGTTCATTTGTTTCATCTTTCGCACTACATCTAAATTACTTGTTAAAGTTCTTGCTTTATCTTCTGGATTTTGTTTCGAAAGTATATGAAGAAGGAATGAAGCTTTTCATCTCTACTAACATTGAAGTTGGGTTCATGACTAAGAGTTTGGTGCTGTTGTTGCTAACATGTTCTTACAATAAAAATAAAAAATATTTTTTTAAAAAAACCAACTTTATTTTTTATTTCGGGAAAATTCAGAGGTGAAAAAACAGGTGAAAAAAGAGGTGAAATCTCACCTCTTCACCTAAAATATATTTTTGTCATTTACGCTCATTACGATGAAGTTTCGACAAAACATTTACGAAGAAATTCATGAAAATTCATGAGGTGAAAAAACAGGTGAAAAAAGAGGTGAAATCTCACCTCTTCACCTAAACATTATTTTTGCTGAAAAAGTGTATTTTTTCATGTCCGAAGACTCGAAGGTGCAACACTTCCAAAATACCGACGAACTCAGAAGAGCAGCATGGCAGTATCTTCTTGACAACTTCTTTGAGTTCTCCAGGTACACCTTGGAAAATGCTGAAGAACTCCGACATAGAGAATTTGGAGAAATTGCACTCCAATACTACATTGACAAACAAAGGGTAAACAAAGGGTAAAATAAGACTAAAAACTTAACGTTTAAAAAGTGACATTTTTATGAGCTCCGAGTCACCGAGAAAACTTGGTCAGATGTTAGCAGCTTACTTCCCTGAGGAGGATGGAAGCGTTACATACGTAAGGTTCAAAAACAACGAACCTGGAATTGCGTACCAAATTCGCAATTACATGACCATGGAAGAGTACGAAAGGTTCCTACAAGAGAAACCAGCTCTAAACAACTCAGAAAAGAAAGAGTAAAAAGTTTAATTCGTAATTGTTTATTTTTTTACTTGTATGGGCAAGCTGCAAGTATGAAGTCGACTACCTCCGTCTTTGTCTTGACCAGTTGGACTGCTCTTGCGAGTACGTCTGTTTTGCGGTCTCCAGCTGGTGTCTGACCTTCGTAATTGCGCATGTTCTTGAGAGCTCCACTGTAAATGGTTGTAGGATGAAGAGTCTCTCAGACTGCTTGAGGTAGTCTTCACGGTCACGAACCGAATCTGTGGTACGAGTCGAATCGGTCGATTTGAGGGAAGAGACTGAAAGCCTGTCATCTTCCATAGGGGCTGTGGCATACTCTTTGCGTAAACGGTTCAGACCTTCTTCGAACTCTTGGTCTCTCTTCGATTGGGATTGAGATTGGAATTGGGGTGGAGGGTTTGACATGAACATCCAAGGGTTAGGGAAGTAAGGCATGGGTTGAGGAGGGTAGTTTGGAAAGCCTTGTGGTGGGTAGTAACCTTGAGGTGGGTAGTAACCTTGAGGTGGAAATTGGTAGTAATTCGGAGGTCCTTGTTGGAACTGAGGTTGCTGTGGGTAGCCTTGTGGAGGTGGAACCTGTTGTGGTGCTGGAGCATGCTGTTCTTCTGGCTGTGGAACGGGTTCAGTAGGTGGGACGTCGGACATTCGTTTGTGTCTTAACCGTCTTTGTTCTGAAACAATATAATATTGTCTTGAAAAAGTACAACATTGTCTTGAAAAGTACAATATTGTCTTGAAAAAGTACAACATTGTCTTGAAAAAGTACAACATTGTCTTGAAAAAGTACAACATTGTCTGAAAAAGTCAACATTGTCTTGAAAAAGTACAACATTGTCTTGAAAAAGTACAACATTGTTCTGAAAAAGTTCAAGACTTGTTCTGAAAAAGTACAGCTGTACTCAAATTTGAGAGACATTGTCTGAAGTACAACATTGTTCTGAAAAAGTACAACATTGTCTTGAAAAAGTACAACATTGTCTTGAAAAAGTACAACATTGTCTTGAAAAAGTACAACATTGTCTTGAAAAAGTACAATATTGTACTGACTCAGTATGGAGCTTGACCCCTTAGACGAAGCAATTTATCTAATTGAGGTAAATGAAACCGTGAAGGAATATCTCAGCAAGTGCAAACCAAGCAAGTCCATTGGCTTCTGGTTGTCCAAGAATAGTGTCTTAAAGTTGGAAATTGAAACAGGTGTTGCAATTCAAGTTCCAGAAGGCACTGCATTCGATGATATTAAGGATGTGAAGAAAGAAGCCCTCTTGAAGTTCTTCATGAAACGTCCTTGGATACTACTTCCATATCGTGAGAGCCCAATTCCACGAATTACACAAATTCTCAGAGCACTACTTCACTACTCTGGACAGCCGTTCTTCATAACCTCAGAAGGCGACATCCAACCAATTCAGTAAACATCTCATTTTAACTTCACTTTTTTTATGTTTTTACTCACACTCGTACTCAACAGGTTTGTGTACAACTATTTCAACTGTGAACCTTGTATTGACCGGTCTTCCTGTAAATGCAAGTTTGGTCAATACACAGTTTATGGTGGCAAGAAGGACAGTGGGGAATGTTATTCTGACATCTGTTGTTGCGCTCGAGAGAGAATTGAAATTCCAGACCCAACTCCAACACCAACACTCAAGTTGCCGAAGACTCATGTGAAGAAGAAGCCTTCTGGTAAGTTTCTTATAGCCATATACATGGCACGCTTAGAGTAAAAACATTTTTTTCATTTTTTGAATGAAGCAAGTTAAATTCGTCCCACACCAATCTCAATGGACCGATGAAGAGTTTCAAGCCATGGTTGAAGGCGTTGAGAACGACATAGACGGCGAACTTGAAGGAGCTCAAACCACAATTGCAACCAAAATTGCACAAGTCAAGGAACAGATAGCTCCACTTAAAGCTACCAAAGCTACTCTTGACCTCATGGATACTTACCGTTTAGAAGTAAAGAGTGGAATAAGACAATTAAAATTAAAACTTCTAAACTACGAAGCTATACTCCAAAAGTTAGCAGAAATGAGAAGACTTTACCAGAGCTACTTACATGTAAGGGACTTACCTTCAAGCAGTCCGACCAAAGATGAATTTTCTGACATTGTCCCAATTTTGTCCGAAAGTCAGCTCAGATGTTTTGAACTGCTCCCAACATATCCAGAATATGAACGTTTGCCTGAACTCTTCCGCAATCTCAAAAAACGTTTTTTGGTTCTCATGTTCGAAACTTTTATCGGAAGAGACAACAAACGTTCAGAAGAAGAACAAGATATTATTTTAAACTTGTTGTATGACTTAACCGTCATAACAAGCTTTTTGAAGTAAAACCGTCATTCTCAAACCACTTCATTTTTTCGATGTCCGAACAAGCACCGAAGCCGAACACAATGGCAGATGTCCTTTCAATGTTGCCAGACAAGCGCCCAGTTCAAATTCAAATTTTGAATTTGAAAGCTCATCTGACAAACACCGTTAAGACTCTCCAAAGTAGTCTTATGGAAGAGATGACCAAGCTCAAAGCCGATGTCCTCATGAACCAAGCTTCCAATGAGAAATGCCTGAATGATTTGACGGAAACCTTGCGCATTTACGAGAGAGAGAACCGAGACCTTGCCAGACTCATCTACCGTTTCTTCGAAGAGATAGACGCCATCTGGAAGGTACTCGGAAAGGACAGAACCTCCAACACCGTACTTCGTGAACACAGAATTGAAGAAGGAATTGTCGAGGAAGAAGAGAAACACGAAGAAGAGAGAAGAGAAGAAGAGGAAGAAGAGAAGAAGAGAAACACGAAGAAGAGGAAGTTTGGGCAACCCTTGTTGCCGATGACACTTACGAAATTTCCCAACCCTACCCATACCAAATCCGCAACAAGGAGACAGGCAAGGTTCTTACCCCAGTCCTCAACAACTTGGGACACTTGAACCTTACCCTTCGGAATCGCGGTTCAATCTCCATGGGCAAGCTTGTCGCAATTCAATGGGTTCCAAATCCAACAAGAAGACGAAGGTCAGACACATTGACGGTGACAAGCTCAACAACCGTAAGGAGAACCTCGAGTGGTTCTAAGAGTAAAAAAATTTTATTTTAGGGGGAAACCCCGAGTAAATTTAGGTGTTTAGTTATTAAGTGGCTTAAATTAAGGTAATTTGGACAATTAGCTCCGACCTCTGAATTGGACTCTTTCGTCATCCCAGTTGCGTAGGAGGTCGTCCCAGAGGAGTTGGTAGAATTGCCAATCCAAGGACGATTTGTCCTCCCAGGCATTGAGGATGTACTGCTCGTAGAGTTCATGACCTCTGCCTTGCACCAGACACCCTCTCCCTTGGAACGTAAGGCTTCTTCGAAGTGCTCGAATGCGATTGGCTGCGGGACCATCTGAAATGACACTTTTTGTCCGTTTGGTCAATGTTCGTGTCTCGTGCCATAGTCGACGAAAATACAGACAAACAGGTTATATATGAGTTTGAGACCAAGAATGGTGTAACTCGACCTGTCCGATTCAAATTCGAATAAAAATTTTTTATTTCATGCAATGTTTTATTTCTGTGCCGTCTTCAAGTATGCCCCAGTACTTACGCTTGGAGAGGACATGAACTTCGGTGAAAATTTTGTCCAATTTGAATTGACCCATCTTTTCACCGACCATTCCCATTTCAATGAGTTTGTTGTAGCCTTCTTCGTTCGTCATGAGTGCGTCAATGTTCTCATAGTAAACCTTCACTTTGGATTTGACTTCGGAGAAGAATTTGTTGTAGTTGTCAAGGACTGCCTTTGCGAACTGAGGGTAAGACCAATGTTCGACAATAGGTTTTACTGTGGTTACTAAGCCACCTTGACCTTGAGTAAATTCGTACTTCAAAACAAAAGGAGAACCTTTCAACAAAGTTGTCGACCTTCTCATATGTTTACTCTTCATCTTTGAGGTTTCTTAATGGAATATCCCCATGTCGAATTCATAAGCAATTTGAGTGTCATTGCAAGTTTGGGGTTTGAAGCTTTCCTAATATCATACAGTTGTTGTATGACTTTTCCAACTGTATAGTTCCTTCCTGGGAACTCACCATCTTCGTTTGGAATTCCAGTCGGGATATATTGGACGAACCTCATGTACGCAGCGTTAAGGTCGACATAGTATATCTTTTCATCTGAGTCGAACTTGTCGCAACCAATGGGTCCAGTTCGTGGAAATTCAAGTGAGTCTCTTATCTTCTGAGAAACTTCTCCTGCTATCTCATAAACATCGTCGAAGCAACCTGTTTCATATAAAACCTTCTGACCTAACTCAGATGCTCTCCAATACAATTTGACGTCAATTGGATGTCTCAATGGAAGTTTGTTTATAGCATCTTGAAGTTCTTGCAACCTCATTGGAAGTTCTTCTGGTTCAGGTTGGTATCCGAACAATCCAACTCCTTTTGGAACTGTGTACTTCTTTTGTGCTAGAACTTTGTCTGGAACAACTTTTGGTCTTGCTAACAATGAAAAGTTTGTTTCGTCTTTTGGTACAAAAGTTTCTGTCAGCTTGTCATCTGGAATTGGTTCCAACAAACCTTTCTCGAAAAGAATGTTTACAGCTCTGACAATGTTGCACTTGCCTTTTCCGAACAATGGGTTTGTAAGACTTTCGTTCAACATGAAGTGGTTGTGGACAATTACAATCTTCAACCATGGTAAGTCTTTGTCAACAACATAGTCGTCATGTGAAGAACCTTTCTGTAGGTATGTTGACTCGGATATTGACATTTGCCAACGGTGCAATTTTTGCCAATTGACCTCTGAGAATGTACCTTGTCTTCACACATGACTCAAGATACTTCATCTTCTCATCTGTAACAAGACCAGAGTTCCTGAGACATGTAAGAATACAAGGTTCATTGACAATTGTTTCAATTGAATTGTAAATTCCATACCTTGTCAAGTCAATGTCAGACTTATTTATGAACGGGAAGTATCCAGCATGTTGTCTGACTGCTTGAGGGTTAGGTTGGTACCATTCGAACTTACACTTGCAATTCCTTCAATTGCATTCAAAATGTCTGAGTCGGAGTCAACCATTTGTTCTCTCTTTGTAGTCTTGAAAGCGTCAAGAAGCATTGCAGCTGTTGTGACATTGCCATGTGCATAGTAAATGTGACCGTCCAAATCTGTTACGGTTAGTCTGAGATTGTATCCTTTCTTATTTCCGTCTTGAATTGCAGCAAGTACACCCATGAAGCCTTCTTTGTTCTTTCCTTCGTCAAAGTTTACTGTAAAGGTTCGACCAGATGTAATTTGACTTCTAACTTCACGATACTTTTCATATGCATATCTTGTTCTTTCCATGGGAGCATGTTTGTCTTCACCTTTTCCTTTTTTCCTTCTCAAAGGATGCAATTGTTCGTCATGTTTCCAGTAGAATCTGGCAAAGCCGTCGTGTCCTTCAACTTGAGGTTCACTAACATCGAAAGGCATGTCCATAAGACGTTCTTCTTCTAACCTCTCTAGTCTGTTTGGATAATTTGCGCGTGCTGTTTCCAAGTCCATTTCATAGCGAAGACCAGACAGTTTGTCATAGACTTTTATGGGTCTTCCCTTCCTATATTTAAACTTCTTGAAACTTTCCAACCATATCTTTCTAACTCTGCTTTTATTCTAGCAGATTTTCTATCCATTCTATATGGGGGCATTTTTATAAAAATAAAAAAATATTTTTTTCTTTACTTTACATAACCGCCTGCTGCCATAAGTCTTTGACGCCAACCCATACCAGCTAATGAAGGTTGACTTGGTTTAGTTTGGAAACTAACTTTGGTTTTGGTTTATCTTCAGTTTTTGGTTCTTCTTCTATCGGTTTTTCGTCACTTTTCGGTTCCTCTGACTTTACCTCACTTGCAGGTATGGTTGTGTCGTCAACATCTTCATAAATATCATATGCCATTTGTTTTTGTTTTCCTTTCAACTTTTTGTGTTTGTTGTAAAGTTTAGAATATTTCGACTCTAAGTCAATGAGATGTTCTATAATGAACTGTTGGTCAGTGAAGTAAACTTTTCCATCTGTTGTCTCGAAAGCTCCTTCAGACTTCAATATTTTATTTGTGAGAGTCTGTTTCTTTTTTGAGATACTAGCCGTTCCATTTCTATGAAAAGTGACTTTGTAGTTAGGGTTTGTATTTCCAGACCTGGCACTTTCTATTATTGAATTTTTCTCTTCATCTGTAAGTTCTTTGACAGGTTTTGACAATGGTTCTGAACTTTTTGTTTGTGGTGTCAAATCTACCGTTTCAACTTCTTCGGTCATTTCATCTCAGTAAAAAATTTTAGTTTGGTTTGTTTTCAACTGGTTGTTTAGGTTTTTTAAGTCGGTCTAAAACTTCCTGAGGTATAGGAAGAACTTGACAAACACGTGGTTGTGTAACTGCTGGAAGTCGACAAATCCATCTTGAACCCATTTGTCTCAATGCTGTATTGTTCATTTCATCTCAGTAAAAAATTTACATTCCCCACGTTTGAGGCGGTTGCGGTTGGTTGTTGTTTACCCACTGTTGTGCATGGTTATATCCTCTGTTAAAGAATCTTTCACCTTGGTCCATATAGTGCCCTGCTTGGTTATAGTAGTCATTTGCTTTGTTATAGTAGTTTCCTGCTTGTCTTCCTACATTGTCCATCCATCCTTGAA